GTTATTAGACAACTTACATTTGCAGTAGTGCCTAAGTAAATTCTTCTTTCATCACTTTTGGGGGAGGGAGCTTTGGTTCAAGAGGTAGAAACCAACCCTATTTCTACCTTTGTGAACAGAGCGAGGCAGCGGGCTGGCTCCAGAACCACAATGTGTGGCCGGTTTGGGGCAGGGGCGTAAATAGAGTCATTGTTTAGCATTGCCTCACTTTGGAATGCATTTTAATTTATAAAGCACAATATATGCAATTCTATTTATTAAATCTGTAGCTGCAATATGAATAGAAAATGTTATTCACGTATAGTAGCAACAAAGTTCAGGTTGACGGTTAGACTGGTGTATTTAGAGTTTCTTCATTCATGCACAGTGTATTCAGTGACAGATGTGGTTTGGACAATGTCCACAGGATGGTTTCAGGTACTCTGCCTGGGTGAAAACAGTAGTTAACTGTCATCACAGGTAATATACTGCCTTTTAGGAGCTTGAATGCAGGTATAGTACAGCTTTATCGTCTTCTAAAATGTGCAGTGGAATCCGCTTCCACGGAAGGGATCTGCCTGCGCAGCACATCTGTTATAACCAAACCATCGCTGTTTGGAAAGTGGATGTCTTATTTAATCCTTTCCAAATTAGTGTGAGATTGCACTATCAATCACAGCTGGTAAGAAAAATTCTCTTGGTTTTACATGTCCAAACCACTCCAACCTGGAGTACCTGTAGATTTTTCATTCTTTGTGGGAATTTAAATGTACATAGGAAAATACAACACGTAGAGATAAGCACTGGGGCCACGGCACATGCTCCGTCCTCCCGTCATTATGCCAGTATATGAATAAATGGCACCTCTTCCCCTCAACGTACTATGCAAATACTCTTGTACACTGAATCCTTGAAAGCATGGGCATAATCCTTCTCCCTGCCAGATCTCAGTATTCCACTTTGGGCCTGCTTAAAGTGGCTGTAAAAGCGTCTTGAATAGGGCAAAGTGCCCTTTCCACAACGGCTTTACCTGTGACTTCTGCAGTGCAGAAAGCCTCACAGCATCTCGTTAAGTGGTGGTGCACTTCGTTTAATAAGCTGTTTCCACTGTAGTATCAATCTAGTTCTCATCTAACGCAACATTTATTGTATACACAATCAAAAAGCACATGAAGAAACTATACCAAAAAAAAAAAAAAAAGGTGCATCAAGAACATTTACCTCAGATGCTTGCTTAAAACACCCCAAAGTTAAACTAACCTTGAATCTAAGGAAATTCAGCTGTCTCCGGAAGTGAAGAACCAATGTCTCCTACAGCTTACAGAATGTGAGGCTGTTAGCAGTAGCTGGAGTTCCACAGCTCCTTCAGTGGGTTTTTACTGCAGTGCAGATTTTCTGTCCTCTGAACAGAAGTCTTGTCTGAGTAGTTGTTATGAAAATGCTGCTTTGCCATCAATCTAGAAAGATGAGTTCAGGACCAGTATATTATTTTCTAGGGGAAAATTGCAGGATTCTCCCTTATTTTCAAATTCAGTTGACTCAGGCATATGGCATGAACTGCTGGGACTCAAAATCCCACGTGTGGTTCAGAATTTTATTTCCTCCAGATTCCCAGGCCTCTTGATCTGGCTCTAGGACACCACCCTATCCTTGGTGAAACACACCTATAGATTCAAGGGAAATATTTCAGCGTGATTTTGGAGTCCTTTCTCCCACCTCATCGCTTTCATTGAGAGTGATGTATATGTTGCAGTAGAAGAAGATTCCTAGGGCTAGAGAAATAAATGAATTATTTTTCTTTATCATATTTTGTAGCTGGCAGAAGTAAAATATTGTATGGAAAAATATATTTTCATAATCACTGTGTATAAAATATATTTGAACTTTCACTGAAGCACTATGTTTTGAATAATCACAGCATACGGCATCACTCATTCACAGATGAATTGAAGGTACCTCCTTTGTTATGACAAAGCTGTATGAATAGCCCAAAGTGGTCTATTCAGAAATTGCAGGTTCCAGCCTAATTTAAGTTGCATTAATAAAAGTGTGAAATACAAAAGTGTCTTGGTTGTCTTAATTTAAAAAACCCAATATCTCAGTCTTATCTGACTTACATGGGAAGGACAGCAAGTTAGAAGAGAAGGCAACTTTAATAGCTCCTTGTCTACAAAGCTAAAAATATTGCAGCTAAAGTTGGTTTTGCCTTTCGTGAGCTCTTGACTGTCACCTTAGCCTGGACTTGCAGAGAACCAGTGTTTTCTTAAATAGACTGCTTGCTGGAAACTAGGAATTACCCACGCTTGAGTACTTTATGAGAGTACTGAGTTTTAAATATCTTTGGTTCTGCACAGGCCCCTTGCGCTATGGCAGAAAGGAAATGAATTTTTGCTTTCAAGCATAAAGCTTACCTGCTAGAAAACCAAGGAAGCACACCTTGTGTTGTGGGATTGCTGTGATGTTTCTGATCCATTCACTTTGAGAACTGTCGTGGGGGTTTTTTCACTTGCTATTCATCTGCAACACTTCAGCTCTCCTTTGTCCCCACCCTTCATATTTGCTTAATAAAATAGTTGGAGTCAGAAGTCGTTAACCGCAATTTACATAAGTATGTGTACTATTGAAAACGCACTTTCCACACTAGAAATTACTGTGTCTTAATAAGGAAGTGCTAAAGCACTCTGGAAGAAAAAAACCTGGCCTTGACTTTGGTCTATGAAGTGCTTGTGATACACTTGTGACACAACAGGGACAATACGGATACAGCACATCTGCACAGGAGCTGCACAGCACCCTGAGAACAGAACTGGAAAAAAATCTGGTTCTTCAGTTTCTCACCTCCAGTACACTTTGGGTTGGGAAAGGTGTCTAAAGCCTGAGAGACTCCATAGGTTAGGGTGAACCTTTCCAACGCTTCTGAGAAAAGAGGTCTTGATTTTTGGAATGGGAATCCACGAACCCAGGTTTTCCTGACCAGTCCTTGGCTGCCAGGGAGGGATGCTTTATGGAACTTAGGACTGGGGCTGGAGTTCAAGAGGAGACACGGGAACAGCTCCCCAGGCAATGCGGTGATGGGCCCTTTCCGACGGCTTTGGTAACAACCACCTGTGGAGAAACTAAGAGGAGACGCGGAACAGCTCCCCAGGCAATGCGGTGATGTGCCCTTTCCGACGGGCTTTGGTAACAACCACCTGTGGAGAAACACCGTGTTGAGGGCAGGCTGTCATTAGACCTGGCTTAAAACAGTGGGTTAATAAAAGGTGCAATTATTGGGCTAAGCAGGCCCCCTTCTCTCTTCAAACGTCATCCCTCAGGATGAACAAAATCTTCTATTTATCTTTAAATAAACTTAATTTTTGCAGGGCTCATCAGGGAAGGAAGGAGTCTTAAAACACTGGCACAGGAAAATCTCACTTCTAAAGTGGTGTGCCCACGCTGGAGTAATGTTTCTCCCGCTGAAACAAACTATTTTCACAGCTTGATCAGTTTATCAGCTGAAGTTAAATGCTGGCTGCTCTCGCCATGAGTAGGAGGAGCATTAGAGCAGGAAGAATTACTCTTTGCGAGAGTCACTAAATCCTCCTTATTTACTGATTAAATTACTTTTAATCCATTAATCTCAAAGAGGTCATGGGAGCAAGGAAGAGAGGATGTTTGAAGAACATTAAACACGAAACATTCAATTGCACACAAAACAGGGCACAGCAAGGCAAAATAGCTGCCAGGTGGATTAAAAAAAAAACAAAACCAAACAGATTTCTCTAGTCAGAACTACTGAATTTAACTCCTGCATACAAATAGCTATCAACTCCTTTATAAAACTATATATTTATAAATATATTTATAAATTCTTAGGAATGAAGAAAATGCATACATACACACATACAGAAATCCAAAATAACAGCAGTGTCTGGGAGTCCTGTTCATGAGACTCCATCGTGACCACAAAGCATGTTTGCAATCTCATATCCTTGTCCGTTTGATCAGTGTAATACTACTATGCATTTTATAGAGCAAAGACTATCAAGGCACTTTCATTTAAACATGAAGGAGGAGTTTAAAAGGAGCACCCAGAGCGCTCTGTGCACTGCCGCCGTCACGGGCTCGTGGTTATGCTCCAAAGGCTCTTTCCTTCATGCCTGAAATAAGACTAAACCTCACCCATTTCAGCTCCTGTAAGCCACTCTCAACAAATTCTAACTCACCCAAGAACTTAAAAATCAGAAGTCACTGACAGACAAGAGTGTGTGTTTTCCAGCCGCCAGCGAGGTTTGGATGTCAGATTCACAGCCTCTCAGAGGAAAGGCTGGTACTTCTCTGGCTCTTAGAGAGAACAGCTGAATTTAATAGCTACACCAGGGGTGTGCCAATTATGTGCTTTACTTCTGCTGCATTACAGCAATTTTAAGAACAAAATTGCAGCCTGTGAGATAGAATCAGATAAAGTTACCTGCTGCGAAAGGTTTGGTGTCGGGGCGGCTGTATATATAAAGTGAGATGAGAAGCGTGCTTGTAGGGCATTCTCAGACAAAGAAGAGTTGGAGCTCTGCTGCAACCCCTCTCAGCAAGCAGGTAACGTGCTTGAACAACATACCATATTCCCTTTTTACTTATTCAGCGCTTACAGATGCTCGTATAGATGGAACTTGCATTAGAAGCGGCTGCACAGAGCACTTTCTGAGGAGCAGGGACTTGAGGACAGAAACCAGCTAGACTGAACCCATCTGTCGAGCACCAACAGGGACCAACCTTTGAGGTCCAGACATTCCTAAAACTCTGAAAGGGTGTTCAAAAAATCCTAATTTAGATCTTCATCCAATTTTTTCATATGTTAAATCTCTTTATAATGAGATAATCCACACTTGGAGACACTCCAAAGCTCACACCCAGGCACAGTGCTGCTGGGGGGCAGGAGATCAGAACTAGAGATCCAGAAATGTGACATTTCCGTAATTCTGTAAGATCAAAATGGAGCTGTAATGTCATTATGATCAGAAGAATTTGTTTTGTTCTCTCACAGGATGGAGAAGTCCAGGAAGATCTTTGCCAGCATCCTCCTGTTTGTCATGTCTGTGGAAATCTGCCTGGCTCAGCACTGGTCTTATGGTCTGCAACCCGGAGGAAAAAGGAACGCCGAAGACCTGGCGGAGTCATTTCCAGAGGTAGGTTCTAGACTGTAAAACCACCCTGTTGTTTTAGCTAGAATCCCTTGTCTGTAAAAGATGCAAGCAAAAAAGAGATGACATAGGCTTTCCTGTGCATGTGCAGCTCTCTGCCCCCCAGACACACAATACACACACACACATATATATACACACACACTTCTTCCTAAAGCAGCAGTTGGAAAGTAGCTGGCACGAGGGTAAGCTGACATTTGACAGCCTTGCAGTAGAAGTTTCATCTTCGTCTGTGACTAGGGCAGAGGTGCTTTAGCAGAAAGATCTCCTTTCGTGAAGGCTGTATCTCTTCCCAATTCAGATTGCAGATGAAGTGGACAAACTGGGGGAAGTGCAGAAGACCGGATGCCCAGGCTCGTCCCAGCACTCCAGGTTCAGGGATCTGAAGGAAGCCATGGTAAGTAACGTGGTTTTTCTTTTATTACTACGGGGAAACTCAGAGACCAGTCCAGGACAGGAACGTACAAGGGAGGGAAGAGAAAAAAAGGTGGTGGAAGAGGAGGAAGAGGCACGTACGTTTAGTTCACAGGTGGCGATACTGGCTCTGGCCTTATTATCTGCAGGATTCTCAAACACTCACAGTCCCAGGACAGGACTATGTTGTTCTTATGCTCCTGTTGTAGCAATGCCATTACTCACTAAATTAAAAACAAAAAGTCAAATGCATTCTACCTTAACACAAATCTATGCAGCATTCACAGATGCTTAACTTCAAGGGCGCACTTTGCCAGCTGAAGGATCAAGCCAGATGGAAGCTGCTGCTCCCAGGGTCCCCAGGCTGGGAAATGGATTTTCCATTAGATGCTCTAACGCAATGACAGCAGAGACTTCACAAATTAACTGCCATAGAAAGAATACTCTCAAGCAAAAATGTGCTCTTTAATTAACATAGCAACACCTTGATCAGGCCAGATGGTCACTGCTTTCTGAGAAGTGGCTCTGTGCTGTCCTAAAAGTTGAAACACTCAATCTCCACTTCATTTTTGAAGCCAAGACCAAAAGTTTCAAGCACCCATTCATTCTAGCCTTTCACTGAGGGAGCTCTGTAACAGTAATGCAGACAGGTCAGAATCCGACTTCCATTGGATCTTCATACAGAAATTACCTAAACTCCAATTTTTTTAGGTCATCTTTAATCATATTTGTACTGAACACAAAATGGGAACTTTGTGACTCTGGCTTCCAGTAACACTACTTGCAGTAGTCTTATTACTACTTGCATCTCATTCCTGTAGCACGGTCTGAGCTATGTGGCCTCCTTACTTCTAGCTGCTTAATGACACTGAAAACAAACGAAACCTTTTCCAGATGCAGCTTTTCCAGTGTAACGCATTCCTGGAGTTGCTACAAGAATATTCTGCAATGAAAGGGGAGGTGTCTGGAAATGGTCCACCCCATGGAAAAACTGTTTGAATTATCCTGATCATTTCCTGGAGAAGCTGGTAGCGAGCACAAACAAAAATACACCTAGCTAAGATACAAAAGGGGAAAAAAAAAAAAAAAGCCAAATTCAGACAGTGCCTCTACAACGCAGGATTTCAACTCTGAGGTAGGGACATAAATAAATATTCAAGTAGGAGAGCAGATCCAGCAGGATGTGACACATGGTTTCCGTGTGAACAGTACTACGGTACACAGGGAACGGTAACAGGGCAACTGTGCCGCTCCGTAATGCCCCTGTAACACTTTTGCAAGCACAGCTTTCTTGTCTCTGGTGTCTTGGCCAACTGGTTAAGCTCACAGAAGCACTCTACAGAGCGACGCTTTGTGCAAGTTCATGCTTCTTGTCCTAAGCTGCTGTCGAGTGTAGTGTTCAACAGCTGATGGGTTGCACTCCAAGAACTGCCGCCGTGGTGGACACACGAACAGATGTAAAGCTGGTCATGCCCTCGGGGATGAAAAGGGCCATTATCAGTGTCAGTTACATTATTACCCTGTGTGCTCAGATCCACGGGCAGGTGGCTGAGAGATCGGGTCGGGTGAGATTTATGTCGTTCTAATCCTCCTTCCACTGGAGACCACAATATGAATATTTCAGCATCTGACTAGGCTTTAAAATTCCATCATCAAAGTTATTTCTTCTCTTTAAGAAAAGTATATGGTGTGTGTTTACAGGAAAGCCTGATGGAAGGAGAAGCCAGACGAAAGAAGATTTAAACCCACAAAGCCACACAGAACAATGGACCCAGAATAAAATCTCCGAGCTATGTTAAAATCAATTCCTCTCCAAACTGACCTCTGCTTAGATTGCATTATGTGAATAAACACTCTGAAGTTGCATTTAAATAGCAGAAGATAATTGTTGTGTGGATTACTAGCTTATATGTAAAAGAGAACATGATCTAGTCCAGTGGTGGGGATTCAGCAGCACAGAGTCTGGTTCGTGTCCTGCGATGACAACCTGGATGGGACAGCTTTTGACAGCTTTGGTTTCATGCGTACAGGCAATGCCTGTCTGACCTCACCAGTCTCTGGCTAAAACAGTAAATACTTTGTTAAAAAGTATTTGTTAAAAATTCTTTGTTAAAAACCAAGAATAAACTTACTGTTGGGATGTAATTCCACTCACACTTCAGTCGTCCATGCATGAAAGACTTTTATATGCTCTTTTTTGACTGGTTCACTCATAAAAACTACATTTATTTTAAAAAGGTATTTACAAACTTTACAATAGTTAATACATTTTTAAAAAAAACACACAAAAATTTATACACCTTGCTTTACAGACTTAATGAATCATGTGTCATTTACCCAGAGAGACGCAGACTCCCTTTCCGAAGCTTAGCTCCTACTCTTTCTTCAGAGCCCGTGTAAAAGCTGTATTTTTTGCTGATTCAATTGCAGAAGACTAAAAGAAAGAGGGAAAAAAAGTAATGTATTTGCAGTCTGCAGAGGTGGGTTTTATAACTAACCCATCGCATCCAGGATCTCAAAACACTCAAAAAACCATGTTACACAACATCCGTATTCTCCTGAATTCAAGACAAACACATCTCAAGGTTTGTCATGTCGTTGAACCTTTGTAATACTAACAATGAAAAAGTACATCAATGAATACCATGCACACTGGGGTTCAATTTCAGAGCTGCTGAGGACTTACATCTCTGTTTAAAAAATACAAAAACTGCAGACTGTGCATGTGAACAACAGTATGCAGCCATGCACGTCCAAGTCCAGAGATTTCAATGACAGCCTTAAATCAGAACAGTCAGCCTAGTACAGCATGAACAGACGCTTTTCACCTTTTGTTAAGCTCCTCTGTACTCCTCTGTGTGCTCCCTATAGCACCCACACACACTGTCCTAAAGATGCTTTACTGTTAATAGGAGCAGAATTAGGTGATCCTCACGTGCTTTATGAAAAGCCTCTCTCCTGCCATGCAATCAATTAAATCACGTTATTTCTTTACTTTTTCTTCCTGATGTAGTCCTAGGAAAAGCTCACCCTGGTCCACTAGATAATTTGGTCTGCAAGAGTAAATAGAGAAGTTTTTAATTAAAAAGAAAAAATTCAAAGAAGGTAGCAGTAATGGGTCAGAAATATTTCCCCTATAAAAAAGATTACAGTTAAATTACAGACATCTTAAACTTCTTATTTCCATTTACAATTATAAAAATAAATAAAGAGAGAATCTGAGCCATCATCACTACAAGTCTAACTCCCTGTTAATCTGTGGAACACACACTGGACTGCAGAGTGTGGAAGTTATCAGATGCACGCTCTCAACAGCCGCTGCAGATCACAGAGCTGTTCTCACTGGAATCGGTGTCCTTTCCTAATCCAATAATCCACTCAAATGGAAAGCTGTCTGTTTCTCTCCTCCCCTGATGTGGATTAGAGCCTGTAACATTTTTTAAAGGAATTTATCACAGCATGACAAATTTTAATTAAAAGCTCCAGAAAACAAGTGTTGAGCATATTTCTCCAAAGAAAAAAATCCTCTAAGACTTGAAATTTAACACTAGCTTTGAAGAGCACAGCTATGAAATGGGATTAGATTTTGTCTTTTCTGCAGACTGGATTTTTAACTTTGAGAGTTGTTTTATTCAAAAGTATGAACTGGGTAGAAATGCTGCTGTTTGCTTTCCTTTCTGGTATGCAGAGATGACATAATTCAGACTGTTCTCCCATTTCTAGCCCTCCAGTTTAAAAGGCATTAGATGATATTTCCAAAAGCACCTAATTAACATGGAAAGATGATTCTCATTTTGAAAACTAAGTAGTGAGACCTTAAATTGTCCCTGAAAATTAAATCTCACAACTTAGGCAGGTACCATAGCAAAGAGCAGAACTCTCAAGAAAATCAGGGGTCTCGGGGGGTTTCTCATAAGAGTGTGGGCACTTAATTCCACTTAATTAAAATCAGTCAGGCCCCATGCTTATTCACACACCCCAATGCCCAACTGCCTTTAAAAGTCCGACACCTGGAAGACAATGCTTTTTTCTAAGACTGGCACAAAGCCCTAGCTCACTCAGGCACAGTACAGGAATCCCATTTTGTACCTCTAAGCAAACTATGCCGACTTGTATCAGCTATGAACGTAACTCTTCACATACCACAGTCAGTAACACATTTAAGAAAACCGAACGGCTATTTGTGAGTTCGTTTGCCAAAAGG